TTCTGTTGTTTCATTTATTTTATTAACATTAATATTTTGAAGTTTTCAGTGAAATTAACTAAATCATTCATCAATACTGCACACATTAGGTTCAAAAACAGAAAATAACACGAGATGAAAGTTATCATTTTTATTCAAATCCAAGGAATAATGAAAAAGACTCTTCTCTAAAGAAATACAAATGTTGCTTTGATTTTCTGATCTGTTGTTTGCGAATCGACAGTTGTGTAAAATCCTCTGAGAATACTGCTGTTGTTGCTTACTAACACGTTTGCAAGAGTGGGTTTATAAGTAAGTCATATTTATTCATATAGCGCCTTCCACAGACCAGAGTCACAAAGCACTTTACAATTGTTGTGGGCATTTGTCTCTCACTCCACACCGGAGCACCTGGAGGAAACCTACGCAGACTCTGGGAAAACATGCAAACCCCACAGAGAAAGGCCTGGAGGTGGAATCGACCCCAGGACCTTGTTGCTGTGAGGTACAAGCGCTAACCACTGCGCCACAGTCTCGTGTTAGTGTTAAAGTTCCTCATCTAAACATGTTTAAATAAATCGCTTTAACGTTCAGTCACCGTGAACGTGAGGAGTCAGCGGCAGCTCAGACTGAACTCTCTCGCTGACGTGACGTGGCGGCTAATAAATAAATAAACGCTGATATGCCTGGCTTGATAAACAGCCGCGATGGAGGAGATACTCAGAGGGGCCCCTGGAGCTCCTGTACCCAGAGAGGGAGGCCTGATCCTGGGCTCTATCACCGCTGCAGCTGCCTGGATCCTCAGACTGATCAGTGACTTAAGCTTGTGTGCTCGTCACTGGGTTCTATTATGTGGAGAGATGCATTCTGGGTCATTTGTGTGTTGAGTTTATGAGTGAAGCATGTGGGAAAAGCCACGTGTTACTGACATAGCCTGGTCTGACCACACCATTGTACTCATTTCATTTCATACTAAGGTCTGGATGTGCTCCATTGACTCCGTGAACAGGTGGGAGGGGCTAACTCCTTTTACAGATTGAAACGATTGGATCTGAGTTTACTGTGACGTATGTAATGAGCCCGAGTGAGTGAGGCATTTAGCATTAGCCTAGCTTTAGCATTTAGCCTAGCTTTAGCATTTAGCCTAGCTTTAGCATGTAGCCTAGCTTTAGCCATCTCCTTTGCCGCTATCGGAGCCCGTGGGGAGTAGAGCCACAACATCTTTGCTTCAATGACATTTACTAAACATTCCTCTTGCTCCGGCTTCAGTTTCTTGATATTTGGATTGAACCAGAACAGGAGATGTAGGAAATGACCATGGACCAGAGTTTACACATGGTAAGACCAGACGTACATGTAGGAGATTATCGTGGACCAGAGTTGACCCTACCTGCTCTATAACATATGAAAAGATTACAGTAAGCATTTGACCCGTGGACTGGTCTCCTCCTGGCCTGGACTCACGGGCTGCACCCCCTCCTCGCCTGGAGCCGCCTGGAGCCGCCTGGAGCCGCCTGGAGCCGCCTCGGTCCTCGTTCTACAGCCTGAGTCCTGGATCCAAGGGCGTAGGTTTGCGTGGGGACCATGGGGACATGTCCCCACCAATATTTGGTGAGGACTAAAAGGTCCCCACCAAAATGACATGATGTCCCGTGACCCTGACGGTCCGGGACACATGTCTTCCGTTTGTGCACACGTCGCGCCTCCTCCTCGCCTCCAGAGCAACAGCAGCAGCAGCAGCACGTGACCCGTTCCGTTCTCTGCAGTGATTGGCTGTCTTCTTCAGCGCCAAACTGAAGCACTGAGCAACTGTTTAATTTTTAAAAGTTAGCCAGCGTGAAGCAAGTGTTTTTTTTCGTTCCCTGAGCGTTGTAGCACGTGAGTAATCAGAGGAAAGTACTGTAGATCTATCACCATTCAAAGTACTTACGTTATTTCTAATCTGTCAGCGCACTGTTTAATGTTCCGAGGAGCTCACACGGCACAGAGACAGAACAGAACTGGCTCCAATAAAGAAACAGGTTGGTTGAAAGGCTGAAAAAATACTTATTGTGCTCTTACTATCCAAAATGTATAAGTGGGTGTGTTGTGTGAATCAGGATAAACTAGGGATGAAAATATTCCACGGATCCACGATTTACAACCTTTATCTGCTGATAATGTAATTTCTGTGAAATGTGTGACAGCGGGCACTTGCTGTTATTTGCTCTAAGCACATTCAAGCGATGCACTCGAATGTGCACGTCCTGGTGCAGCTGCTGCCGCTTTGTAATGACAGCCGCGGCGCTCAGTGAAAGCACAGCTCTAACATGGTACCGAGCTCGGACCATATGCAGACAGAACCATGTTGCAAGTGCGGGTCTCCCTCGTATCTCCCCCGTTTCTCCCCTGTGTCTCTGACATGTCTCTCCCCTGACTCTTCCCAAAGCGCAACCAGTGCTCCCGAAATTAAAGCTCGGATACCTAAATTTTCCATTGCGTTAACGATGCATGCTGGTTGTGCGCAAAACACACCACAACAGGTCATTTAAGTTTTTATTTTGCATACTTGAGAGCCCTGTGAGTCATTACTTGCCTTTTTGGGTTGAGAGTGGAATAAAAAAAAGAAAATATAGAAAAATCCACACTGTTACTTATTGCCAAACTCTTGTTAACTCATTGTATTGAGAAATACTATGTAACTTTTGACATTGGCCAAGTTATATAAATGATTCTGCAGTTCATGTATATGAAGGTCTGTTTTTGTGAGGTTGGAATTTTGTAGGTATGCATGGGACTATGAATTGTTTTTAGAGATTGATCGTATATGTCAAACAATGTAGTGAGATACTCACTGTAGATTCTAATTCAATATTTTCTCCTCTGTTTTTATTTATTATAGGAAATTGAAAGATCAGAGCATGATTTATTTCAAGTATCGAGAGCAGTTCCTGAACTGTTAGAGCCTCAGGTGAGGGCTATTATGTAGATTTGGATTAGGTTTAAGAATGAACGCAACACAAAACTCAGAAGCTCTGATCCAATTGATTTTGTTTTAACTATTAGAAAAAATCCTTAACTGCTTCTCATTCAGTCTATAGCTGAGTTTAGTATAGAAGGCAACACACTATTGCAAATATAGTGTGTGATTACACAACAAATTCTGGGGGAGAAACTCTGGACCCCGTGTCAATGGGTGTAGACTCAGGTCGTAGTGAATGTCCCCACCAAGATTGGAACCAAACCTACACCATTGCCTGGATCTACAGTCTGTCCGTCTGTGGGAACGGATCTCTTTCAATGTGGTCCCTCCGAGGTTTCTCACTTTTATACCACTGGCTTTTTAGGGTTTTTCCTCTTAGATGATAGATATTTGCATAGATATTTGGATAGATATTTGTTATAGATATTTGTGATAGATATTTGTGATAGATATTTGTGATGGATATTTGTGATAGATATTTGTGATAGATATTTGTGATAGATATTTGTGATAGATATTTGTGATGGATATTTGTGATAGATATTTGTGATAGATATTTGTGATGGATATTTGTGATAGATATTTGTGATGGATATTTGTGATAGATATTTGTGAAAGATATTTGGATAGATATTTGCATAGATATTTGTGATATATATTTGTGATAGATATTTGTGATAGATATTTGTGATGGATATTTGTGATATATATTTGTGATAGATATTTGTGATAGATATTTGTGATAGATATTTGTTATAGATATTTGGATAGATATTTGTTATAGATATTTGTGATAGATATTTGTGATGGATATTTGTGATAGATATTTGTGATGGATATTTGTGATAGATATTTGTGAAAGATATTTGGATAGATATTTGCATAGATATTTGTGATATATATTTGTGATAGATATTTGTGATAGATATTTGTGATGGATATTTGTGATATATATTTGTGATAGATATTTGTGATAGATATTTGTGATAGATATTTGGATAGATATTTGCATAGATATTTGTGATATATATTTATATTTGTGATAGATATTTGTGATGGATATTTGTGATATATATTTGTGATAGATATTTGTGATAGATATTAGGATAGATATTGTGGGTCTGTCTGTAGCCGCAGAGTGGTGTCATGTGCAGACCCACGTCACTGACTCATGCAGAGGGAGATGACATGATCGACACTGACAGACTCTGAGCGGCGGATACTTTCCCCCGCGATGATCACCGCCACGGCAAAGTCACCGCCCTCTGAGCTCCACCGCCACGGCAAAGTCACTGCCCTCTGAGCTCCACCGCCACGGCAAAGTCACCGCCCTCTGAGCTCCACCGCCACGGCAAAGTCACCGCCCTCTGAGCTCCACCGCCACGGCAAAGTCACCGCCCTCTGAGCTCCACCGCCACGGCAAAGTCACCGCCCTCTGAGCTCCACCGCCACGGCAAAGTACCCGCCCTCTGAGCTCCACCGCCACGGCAAAGTACCCGCCCTCTGAGCTCCACCGCCACGGCAAAGTCACCGCCCTTTGAGCTCCACCGCCACGGCAAAATCACCGCCCTCTGAGCTCCACCGCCACGGCAAAGTCACTGCCCTCTGAGCTCCACCGCCACGGAAAAATCACCGCCCTCTGAGCTCCACCGCCACGGCAAAGTCACCGCCCTCTGAGCTCCACCGCCACGGCAAAGTCCCTGCCCTCTGAGCTCCACCACGGCAAAGTCACCGCCCTCTGAGCTCCACCACGGCAAAGTCACCGCCCTCTGAGCTCCACCGCCACGGCAAAGTCACCGCCCTCTGAGCTCCACCACGGCAAAGTCACCGCTATCTGAGCTCCATCGCCACGGCAAAGTACCCGCCCTCTGAGCTCCACCGCCACAGCAAAGTCACCGCCCTCTGAGCTCCACCGCCACGGCAAAATCACCGCCCTCTGAGCTCCACCGCCACGGCAAAGTCACCGCCCTCTGAGCTCCACCGCCACGGCAAAGTCCCTGCCCTCTGAGCTCCACCACAGCAAAGTCACCGCCCTCTGAGCTCCACCGCCACGGCAAAGTCAACGCCCTCTGAGCTCCACCGCCACGGCAAAGTCCCTGCCCTCTGAGCTCCACCACGACAAAGTCACCGCTATCTGAGCTCCATCGCCACGGCAAAGTACCCGCCCTCTGAGCTCCACCGCCACGGCAAAGTCACCGCCCTCTGAGCTCCACCGCCACGGCAAAGTACCCGCTCTCTGAGCTCCACCACGGCGACTTTGCCGTGGTGGAGCTCCACCGCCACGGCAAAGTCACCGCCCTCTGAGCTCCACCGCCACGGCAAAGTCCCTGCCCTCTGAGCTCCACCACGGCAAAGTCACCGCCCTCTGAGCTCCACCGCCACGGCAAAGTACCCGCCCTCTGAGCTCCATCGCCACGGCAAAGTACCCGCCCTCTGAGCTCCACCGCCACGGCAAAGTCACCGCCCTCTGAGCTCCACCGCCACGGCAAAGTCACCGCCCTCTGAGCTCCACCGCCACGGCAAAGTCACCGCCCTCTGAGCTCCACCGCCACGGCAAAGTACCCGCCCTCTGAGCTCCACCGCCACGGCAAAGTCACCGCCCTCTGAGCTCCACCGCCACGGCAAAGTCACCGCCCTCTGAGCTCCACCGCCACGGCAAAGTACCCGCCCTCTGAGCTCCACCGCCACGGCAAAGTCACCGCCCTCTGAGCTCCACCGCCACGGCAAAGTCACCGCCCTCTGAGCTCCACCGCCACGGCAAAGTCACCGCCCTTTGAGCTCCACCGCCACGGCAAAGTCACCGCCCTCTGAGCTCCACCGCCACGGCAAAGTCACCGCCCTCTGAGCTCCACCACCAGGGCAAAGAGTTCAGCCGTGATCCAGCGCGTCTCTGCTCCTCATGGACCAATGGCTTCATGTGTTTTTAATGATTGCATTTCTTAATAATAAAAATGCATCAGTTTTATTCAGTGCTTTCAGGACAAATAGTCTTGATGATCCACCCGGAAGTAGAAAATCCTGCGTTATAACTTGCCTTGTGCATAAATTCTAGTAAATGGACAAACTGCTTCGGAGCAGATTTCAAAGATTTCATTTACTGTTTTTTGCATTTGTGATCTGAGATAAAGACGGAGAGTTGTGGAATGGATTTGAGAGAGAGAGAGTCCAGAGAGAGACTAGAGAGGGACCAGAGAGAGACTAGAGAGGGACCAGAGAGAGACTAGAGAGGGACCAGAGAGAGACTAGAGAGGGACCAGAGAGAGACTAGAGAGGGACCAGAGAGAGACTAGAGAGGGACCAGAGAGAGACTAGAGAGGGACCAGAGAGAGACTAGAGAGGGACCAGCGAGAGACTAGAGAGGGACCAGAGAGAGACTAGAGAGGGACCAGCGAGAGACTAGAGAGGGACCAGAGAGAGACTAGAGAGGGACCAGAGAGAGACTAGAGAGGGACCAGAGAGAGACTAGAGAGGGACCAGAGAGAGACTAGAGAGGGACCAGAGAGAGACTAGAGAGGGACCAGAGAGAGACTAGAGAGGGACCAGAGAGAGACTAGAGAGGGACCAGAGAGAGACTAGAGAGGGACCAGAGAGAGACTAGAGAGGGACCAGAGAGAGACTAGAGAGGGACCAGAGAGAGACTAGAGAGGGACCAGAGAGAGACTAGAGAGGGACCAGAGAGAGACTAGAGAGGGACCAGAGAGAGACTAGAGAGGGACCAGAGAGAGACTAGAGAGGGACCAGAGAGAGAGACTAAAGAGAGACTAGAGAGAGACCAGAGAGAGAGACCAGAGAGAGAGACCAGAGAGAGAGACCAGAGAGAGAGACTAGAGAGAGACTAGAGAGAGACTAGAGAGAGACCAGAGAGAGACTAGAGAGAGACTAGAGAGAGACTAGAGAGAGACTAGAGAGAGACCAGAGAGAGACCAGAGAGAGACCAGAGAGAGACCAGAGAGAGAGACTAAAGAGAGACTAGAGAGAGACTAGAGAGAGACCAGAGAGAGACCAGAGAGAGAGACTAAAGAGAGACTAGAGAGAGACTAGAGAGAGACTAGAGAGAGACCAGAGAGAGACCAGAGAGAGAGACTAACAAGAGACTAAAAAGAGACTAAAGAGAGACTAGAGAGAGACTAAAGAGAGACTAGAGAGAGACTAGAGAGAGACCAGAGAGAGACCAGAGAGAGAGACCAGAGAGAGAGACTAAAGAGAGACTAGAGAGAGACTAGAGAGAGACTAGAGAGAGACCAGAGAGAGACCAGAGAGAGACCAGAGATAGACCAGAGAGAGAGACTAAAAAGAGACTAGAGAGAGACCACAGAGAGACTAGAGAGAGACTAAAGAGCGAGAGACAAGAGAGAGACCAGAGAGAGACTAGAGAGAGACCAGAGATAGACCAGCTAGAAAGACCAGAAAGAGACCAGAGAAAGACCAGTGAGCAATAAGAGAGAGAACTGGACTCTACAGAACTGGACTCTACAGAACTGGACTCTACAGGACTGGACTCTGCAGGACTGGACTCTCGCTGGTCGAGGTTCTGCTCCTAATATGTGAGAAAGTCCTGGGAGCCAAAGCCGGTCCGGTCTGCCACTTTGATCCATTACATGTGACTTTTACAGGTTTCTCTTTTGGACGGGGTTTGTGTAAAGCTGTTGTTTAAATCCTGTGCTTTTATTCTATACAGTATATTACAGGCTCCATAAATTATCTCGCTGAGGCCGCCGCTAATCTGGTAATGGAAGCAGATTCTCGATATCTCTGGGAGCATCATTTATAAAGAAGTGTCCGTGGTGAAGGCGCTGATGGATGGTTCTGAGGCGGGTATTTTTAGATGGCACAGACGAAGATCAAGGCTTCGGCGTTTGATCTGATGTAAGTCGTTAAACTAAAGAACACGGTGTCGCTTTGGTCACACGGCCAAAAATAGGTCTGAAAAAAAAGATTGAAATCGTACAATGTGAAGGGTAGGACTGACTGGATTTTGTACATTTCTGAGACAAGAGAGAGAGGAGAGAGAGAGGGAGAGAGAGCGGAGAGAGAGACCAGAGAGAGAGGGAGAGAGAGCGGAGAGAGACCAGAGAGAGACCAGAGAGAACGGAGAAAGATCAGAGAGAGAGCGGAGAGAGACCAGAGAGAGACCAGAGAGAGACCGGAGAGAACGGAGAAAGATCAGAGAGAGAGCGGAGAGAGATCAGAGAGAGAGCGGAGAGAGACCAGAGAGAGACCAGAGAGAGACCAGAGAGAGACCAGAGAGAGACCAGAGAGAGACCGGAGAGAACGGAGAGAGATCAGAGAGAGACCAGAGAGAGACCAGAGAGAACGGAGAGAGATCAGAGAGAGACCAGAGAGAGAGAGACCAGAGAGAACGGAGAGAGATCAGAGAGAGACCAGAGAGAGACCAGAGAGAGACCAGAGAGAACAGAGAGAGATCAGAGAGAGACCAGAGAGAGACCAGAGAGAGGGGAGAGAGACCAGAGAGAGCGGAGAAAGATCAGAGAGAGAGCGGAGAGAGACCAGAGAGAGACCAGAGAGAGCGGAGAGAGACCAGAGAGAGACCAGAGAGAGACCATAGAGACCAGAGAGAGACCAGAGAGAGACCAGAAAGAGAGAGCAGAGAGAGACCAGAAAGAGAGAGCAGAGAGAGACCAGAAAGAGAGATCAGAGAGGGACCAGAGAGAGAGACCAGAAAGAGAGAGCAGAGAGAGACCAGAAAGAGAGATCAGAGAAAGACCGGAGAGAGACAAGAGAGAGAGCAGAAAGGGAGCAGAGAGAAAGCAGAGAGAGAGAGAGTCCAGAGAGAGAGAGAGCAGAGGGAGACAAGAGAGAGACCAAAGAGTGTCTGGAGAGAAACCTGAGAGAGGCCAGAGCGAGACCAGAGTGAGACCACAGAGCAAGAGAGACCAGAGAAATGAAACAGACAATGGGACAGCGGGTGAATAGCAATGAACAGACTACAGCTGAAGATACAGTAGGTTATAAGCTGGGCCGTGAACATGGAGACCGTGTCCTCTTCCTGGATGTGGGTGAGGGGCTGATTCCCCGGTGTGCAGGAGCTCGGGGCCAAACTCTCTGACTCCGACTTCGCTTTTTGACACTTTAGGAACCGCCAATTTTTTTTTAGTTTTGCGATCTCATTGAGAGAGTTTAGTTGATATGATACTAACGTGAGAGCCGTACCGTACCACTCTCACCTGGGCTTTCCGAGTGACATGATGGCCGCGCTAAAGATGGCTGCCGCGGTGGAGTTACAGCAGTGGGTTATGAGTGTTAGTTTTTTTATGTTTTGCAGATTATTTTTACATTTAATTTGAAAGTCCTGGACCTGCGCGTTATGGAAATCAATAATTAATTTTGTACATAAAAGTAACTAGTAATATATTTTTACCCCAAAACAAAATTAAGAGCGAAGAGAGATCAGAGAGAGAGAGACCAGAAAGAGCAGAGAGAGAGTGGAGAGAGACCAGAAAGAGAGATCAGAGAGAGAGAGCAGAGAGAGAGAGACCAGAAAGAGAGACCAGAAAGAGAGATCAGAGAGAGAGAGACCAGAAAGAGCAGAGAGAGAGTGGAGAGAGACCAGAAAGAGAGATCAGAGAGAGATCAGAGAGGGACCAGAAAGAGAGACCAGAAAGAGAGAGCAGAGAGAGAGCAGAGAGAGACCAGAGAGAGCAGAGGGAGACAAGAGAGAGACCAAAGAGTGTCTGGAGAGAGACCAGAAAGAGAGACCAGAAAGAGAGAGCAGAGAGAGAGACAGAAAGAGATCAGAGAGAGAGCAGAAAGAGAGACCAGAAAGAGAGAGCAGAGAGAGAGCAGAGAGAGACCAGAGAGAGCAGAGGGAGACAAGAGAGAGACCAAAGAGTGTCTGGAGAGAGACCAGAAAGAGACAAGAGAGAGACCAGAAAGACCAGGGAGAGACCAGAGAGAGACCTGAGAGAGGCAAAAGCAAGACCAGAGCGAGACCAGAGAGAGACCAGAAAGACCAGAGAGAGACAAACAAAACTAAACAAAATTAAGAGACCAAAGTTATATATCCCAACTATAACTTTTTTTTGCCTGGCTTGCGAATCAACGCGGCTCATCCCGGGACTTGTAAAGCTAGATTTAATTATTCATGCGGAAGCCGTAACATCTCTTCCCAAACTCTCAAATGAAACTCCATCTTGCCAAGCGGCGGCTCAGCGCAGGTCAACGCCACCAATTACTTAATGAAAATGATCAGGTTTCCTCAGCTCAACCCGCTCTAAAAAGTCTGCGTAGCCATAAAGCTAATAACAGTAGCCTCCGTTTTTTGCCTATCGTCCAAATCTCCCCCTTTCCTCCCCCCCTCCCCAATCATCTCCCCCAAGTTTGCAACCGCTGCAGTCTCCGCTAGCTATCAGTGAGACCGAACCGCTGAGCTAGCCGAGGGTAAGGCCGTGATTACTTATTAAGAGGGGCTAATGGGTGATGTTAAACTTGGCTCGAGATCCCAACCTGGCAATCCCCGTAAGTGTGTGTGTTCAAGGCCCGGGCCAAAGCGGGGTTGTTCCGTGGCCTGAAATGCATTTAAGTTTTGATAAATGGCAGCTGTAGTTAGATTATCGCACGGGCCGCTTAATGGATTTGGAGACGGAGTTTTGTTTTTGCTGCGTGGAGCTTTAATGATTGTGCTCGGTCTGTCTGATCAAATATGATGCTGTAGATTTCTTTGTTGTGAACTTTAACTAAGATTTGTTACTTTAATGTGTCTATTTTAGTAAGACTCTTATGAGGACCTCCAAACTCCAGACCAGAGAGAGACCAGAGAGAGGCCAGAGAGAGACCAGCGAGAGACCAGAGAGAGACCAGAGAGAGACCAGAGAGAGACCAGAGAGAGAGACCAGAGAGCGGCGAGAGAGAGAGGCCAGAGAGAAAGAGAGAGAGACCAGAGAGAGACAAGAGAGAGACCAGAGAGAGACCAGGGAGAGACACCAGAGAGAGACCAGAGAGAGACAGAGAGAGACCAGAGAGAGACCAGAGAGAGGCCAGAGAGAGGCCAGAGAGAGACCAGAGAGAGACCAGAGAGAGACCAGAGAGAGGCCAGAGAGAGACCAGAGAGAGACCAGAGAGTGACCAGAGAGAGACCAGAGAGAGAGACCAGAGAGAGGCCAGAGAGAGACCAGCGAGAGACCAGAGAGAGAGACCAGAGAGAGGCCAGAGAGAGACCAGCGAGAGACCAGAGAGAGACCAGAGAGAGACCAGAGAGAGACCAGGGAGAGACACCAGAGAGAGACCAGAGAGAGACAGAGAGAGACCAGAGAGAGACCAGAGAGAGGCCAGAGAGAGGCCAGAGAGAGACCAGAGAGAGACCAGAGAGAGACCAGAGAGAGGCCAGAGAGAGACCAGAGAGAGACCAGAGAGAGACCAGAGAGAGGCCAGAGAGAGGCCAGAGAGAGACCAGAGAGAGACCAGAGAGTGACCAGAGAGAGACCAGAGAGAGAGACCAGAGAGAGGCCAGAGAGAGACCAGCGAGAGACCAGAGAGAGAGACCAGAGAGAGGCCAGAGAGAGACCAGCGAGAGACCAGAGAGAGACCAGAGAGAGACCAGAGAGAGAGACCAGAGAGAGGCCAGAGAGAGACCAGCGAGAGACCAGAGAGAGACCAGAGAGAGACCAGAGAGAGACCAGAGAGAGAGACCAGAGAGCGGCGAGAGAGAGAGGCCAGAGAGAAAGAGAGAGACAAGAGAGAGACCAGAGAGAGACCAGGGAGAGACACCAGAGAGAGACCAGAGAGGCCAGAGAGAGACCAGAGAGAGACCAGAGAGAGACCAGAGAGAGACCAGAGAGAGACCAGAGAGAGACCAGAGAGAGGCCAGAGAGAGAGACCAGAGAGAGACCAGAGAGAGAGACCAGAGAGAGACCAGAGAGAGACCAGAGAGAGACCAGAGAGAGAGACCAGAGAGCGGCGAGAGAGAGAGGCCAGAGAGAAAGAGAGAGAGACCAGAGAGAGACAAGAGAGAGACCAGAGAGAGACCAGGGAGAGACACCAGAGAGAGACCAGAGAGAGACAGAGAGAGACCAGAGAGAGGCCAGAGAGAGGCCAGAGAGAGACCAGAGAGAGACCAGAGAGAGACCAGAGAGAGGCCAGAGAGAGGCCAGAGAGAGACCAGAGAGAGACCAGAGAGAGGCCAGAGAGAGACCAGAGAGAGACCAGAGAGAGACCAGAGAGAGGCCAGAGAGAGGCCAGAGAGAGACAGAGAGACCAGAGAGAGGCCAGAGAGAGACAGAGAGACCAGAGAGAGACCAGAGAGAGACCAGAGAGACCAGAGAGAGAGACCAGAGAGAGACCAGAGAGAGGCCAGAGAGAGACCAGAGAGAGAGACCAGAGAGAGACCAGAGAGAGACCAGAGAGAGACCAGAGAGAGACCAGAGAGAGACCAGAGAGAGACCAGAGAGAGACCAGAGAGAGACCAGAGAGAGACCAGAGAGAGGCCAGAGAGAGACCAGAGAGAGACCAGAGAGAGGCCAGAGAGAGGCCAGAGAGAGACCAGAGAGAGAGACCAGAGAGAGACCAGAGAGAGGCCAGAGAGAGACCAGAGAGAGACCAGAGAGAGACCAGAGAGAGACCAGAGAGAGACCAGAGAGAGGCCAGAGAGAGGCCAGAGAGAGACCAGAGAGAGAGACCAGAGAGAGACCAGAGAGAGGCCAGAGAGAGACCAGAGAGAGACCAGAGAGAGGCCAGAGAGAGACCAGAGAGAGAGACCAGAGAGAGACCAGAGAGAGACCAGAGAGAGACCAGAGAGACCAGAGAGAGAGACCAGAGAGAGACCAGAGAGAGGCCAGAGAGAGTCCAGAGAGAGACCAGAGAGAGACAGAGAGAGGCCAGAGAGAGGCCAGAGAGAGACCAGAGAGAGAGACCAGAGAGAGGCCAGAGAGAGACCAGAGAGAGACCAGAGAGAGACCAGAGAGAGACCAGAGAGAGGCCAGAGAGAGGCCAGAGAGAGACCAGAGAGAGGCCAGAGAGAGACCAGAGAGAGAGACCAGAGAGAGACCAGAGAGACCAGAGAGAGAGACCAGAGAGAGACCAGAGAGAGGCCAGAGAGAGGCCAGAGAGAGACCAGAGAGAGAGACCAGAGAGAGGCCAGAGAGAGTCCAGAGAGAGACCAGAGAGAGAGACCAGAGAGAGACCAGAGAGAGGCCAGAGAGAGTCCAGAGAGAGACCAGAGAGAGAGACCAGAGAGAGTCCAGAGAGAGAACAGAGAGAGAGACCAGAGAGAGACCAGAGAGAGCAGAACTCCCTTGAAGGCAACTCAAAGTGCTGGACAAAACAAGATAAAAACAGTCCCACAAGGCAATAAAATCATAAATAATCCCATAATATTAAAAAGACAGTAAAGATACAATCCTTCAGTTGTTGCAGATAAATATAACTATTTTTAACCTGGATTTGAACATTGCCTGTCTCACATTTTCAGGAAGACTGTTCCAGATTGTTCCAGATGCATGAATCTGAAAGCAGGAGACCAGTCCCTGTGCTCATCAGAGTCCCAGCAGGAGACCAGTCCCTGTGCTCATCAGAGTCCCAGCAGGAGACCAGTCCCTGTGCTCATCAGAGTCCCAGCAGGAGACCAGTCCCTGTGCTCCTCAGAGTCCCAGCAGGAGGCCAGTCCCTGTGCTCCTCAGAGTCCCAGCAGGAGGCCAGTCCCTGTGCTCCTCAGAGTCCCAGCAGGAGGCCAGTCCCTGTGCTCCTCAGAGTCCCAGCAGGAGGCCAGTCCCTGTGCTCCTCAGAGTCCCAGCAGGAGGGCAGTCCCTGTGCTCCTCAGAGTCCCAGCAGGAGGCCAGTCCCTGTGCTCCTCAGAGTCCGAGTTGGTTCATACAGAGGTCTTTAAGTTGACCTTATCTCTCCCATCTTACTATCTGCCCAAAACCTGGATCTAAAAAAGAGTTTTGCGGCATCTGTCGAAATCAAACTAGTTCTAAAATGACACTGCGCCTTCGGAAACGTCCAGATTTGGCTGCGCCCTATTCCTGCCCCTTCCATCGACTGTCACACACACACACACATAGACACACCTACACACACGCACACACACACACACACACACACACACACGCACACAAACACACGCACACAAACACACGCACACACTGACCATCTCTGCGTCTGTATCTGCAGTCACATGTTTTCTGGGCCCACGTGGACCCGGATCCAAACGGACAAATCAATCTGTCTTTAGCCCTGATGTGGGTGATGTCTGAGAGAGCGGAGGCAGCGGGATCAGCAGCCGGAGAGAGTGTGCTGTATTCGGTGTGAATCTGTGAGACTGGTGTGTTTTGCTTCAGTTCTGGCTTTAACGGGATGTGAGAGGTTTTTTCACAGTTGCCATAGTTACCGCGCGCTGCTTCTGTGGCGGCGGACTACAGTTTGGATGAGGTCATGTTTGGAGCAACAACAAGTGTTTTATTCACAAGTGCAGCAGATGTGGAACTGCTGCGTGCGCCGCTGCTGCAGGTGACGTAGGCTGGGCAGGAGCAGCAGCAGGAGCAGGAGCAGCAGCAGGAGCAGCAGGAGCAGGAGGAGCAGCAGGAGACTCATGATGGAGACCAGAGGCTGACATCGATCCGCTGCAACCTGTGCGCGCGCAGAGCTTTTCTCCGCTCTTTCTGTTTTTTCTCCGTGCCCGTGACGCGGGAGGCAGGTCCGTGTCTCGCGCCAATGACACGCGCCGGTGTCGGTCCTATTGAGCGGGGAGCAGCGCGATGAGCGGCGGCAGCAGCGGAGCACGGAGCAGCAGCCAGAGCGCAACAAGGAGGAGGCGACACCCCGAAGAGAGGCGACCGAGAGGGGCATGCGGCAGCGCGGCCACAGCCCCCCCTCCCAGCAGCTCTTCAGCTTGCCGCCCCCGCCCTCTTCTCAGCACCGACACAGCCTCCACGAGCTGCCGCGCGTGAGCGGACACCCGCAGCCTGTGCAGAGACCCCAGAGACCCCCCCAGCAGCAGCAGCAGCAGCAGCAGCAGCAGCCGCAGCAGCCGCAGCAGCAGCAGCAGGACCCCTGGGCCCCACACCCCCCGCCTCTGCCGCGTCCCCTCCCGCCGCCGCCGCAGAGTTCCGCGGCGCGAGGGGCTCGTGCGCGGACCCCGCAGCAGCGGCAGGCGGCGGACCCCTCCCCTGTTTTCAATGAGCGCGCGCAGAGCTACGAGCCGCAACAGAGTCCGCAACTTCGCGCGCAACAGCAGGTCCTGGTGGGGAGCAGCCTACCCGTCAGCCACTGCGCCAGCGGCTCCGGAGAGCAATGTAGGAGCCCGCAGGTGGGCCCCCCGCGAGCCCCGCACCACTGTGAGCGGCAGCGGACTCCTCCGCACCGCGTAGACACAGGCTCCAGAGGCTCCAGAGGCTCCAGAGGCTCCAGCCACCAGCACCTCCGTCAGGTAGGCGACACTGTGCGTGTGTGCGTGTACGTGTGCGCGCAGGTGAATGACAGATGCAGAAAAGAAGAAGCGGCAGCCTGTTGGTGTGACGCGCGCACCGCTCACGCGCGCACACACCTGTTCCTGTTGCAGAGAGCGGTGTGTGAGTGTTGTGCGTGTGCGTGAGGCCTGAGCAGAGGACGCAGCCTCTTCTCTCTGGAAGTGATTACGGACCTGTAGCATGCGATCCGCGGAGGATCCGCTTCCAGAGCCTTCCACAGGTATAGGACACATGTCTGTGCTGCGGCGGAGCGGCTCCGGGGGCTCCGGGCCGCTGTCCTCGTGCGGACGGGACTTAAACCCCGTGACTCCGCATGTTTCCAGGCTCCGGGCTCAGAAAGAGTTTACTCTGAGCCTCATGACTCATTCAACAGACTGACACCTGTTGCTGGATCATTTTTGTCCTGTTTATGCTCATTCTCAATGACCTTAGTTTGTGTTTGACTCTTTTAGAGCTCAGACTTTGACTGAAGCCTTTTGGATTTGATTTTAAAGGAACCAGTTCTTTCTGCAGTTGTTCTGGTCCTCAATCATTCTCTGGAAATAAAAGCGTTTGACCTTAAGCTCTTGGTGTCACTGTGGTCCTGAGGTTTGGAGTGTTCCCAGAGACAGTTATGGTCCTGTGCTCATGGTCCGGTTACTCTGGTGTCACTGTGGTCCTGAGGTTTGGAGTGTTCCCAGAGGCAGTTATGGTCCTGTGCTCATGGTCCGGTTACTCTGGTGTCACTGTGGTCCTGAGGTTTGGAGTGTTCCCATAGACAGTTATGGTCCTGTGCTCATGGTCCGGTTACTCTGGTGTCACTGTGGTCCTGAGGTTTGGAGTGTTCCCAGAGGCAGTTATGGTCCTGTGCTCATGGTCCGGTTACTCTGGTGTCACTGTGGTCCTGAGGTTTGGAGTGTTCCCAGAGACAGTTATGGTCCTGTGCTCATGGTCCGGTTACTCTGGTGTCACTGTGGTCCTGAGGTTTGGAGTGTTCCCAGAGGCAGTTATGGTCCTGTGCTCATGGTCCGGTTACTCTGGTGTCACTGTGGTCCTGAGGTTTGGAGTGTTCCCAGAGACAGTTATGGTCCTGTGCTCATGGTCCGGTTACTCTGGTGTCACTGTGGTCCTGAGGTTTGGAGTGTTCCCAGAGGCAGTTATGGTCCTGTGCTCATGGTCCGGTTACTCTGGTGTCACTGTGGTCCTGAGGTTTGGAGTGTTCCCATAGACAGTTATGGTCCTGTGCTCATGGTCCGGTTACTCTGGTGTCACTGTGGTCCTGAGGTTTGGAGTGTTCCCAGAGGCAGTTATGGTCCTGTGCTCATGGTCCGGTTACTCTGGTGTCACTGTGGTCCTGAGGTTTGGAGTGTTCCCAGAGACAGTTATGGTCCTGTGCTCATGGTCCGGTTACTCTGGTGTCACTGTGGTCCTGAGGTTTGGAGTGTTCCCAGAGGCAGTTATGGTCCTGTGCTCATGGTCCGGTTACTCTGGTGTCACTGTGGTCCTGAGGTTTGGAGTGTTCCCAGAGACAGTTATGGTCCTGTGCTCATGGTCCGGTTACTCTGGTGTCACTGCAGTGGTCCTGAGGTTTTAGAGCAAAGTTTAGAAATGTGCAATAACGCAGTAATGTACGATATTAGAAAAAACTGGGTCATATTTTACTTGGTTTGGTGTTTTCCTAAGTGGACTATAGTACTAAGTGGACAATAGTACTATGTGGACTATAGTACTATGTGGACAATAGTACTATGTGGACTATAGTACTATGTGGACAATAGTACTATGTGGACTATAGTACTATGTGGACAATAGTACTATGTGGACTATAGTACTATGTGGACTATAGTACTATGTGGACAATAGTACTATGTGGACATTAGTACATTTTAAAGCTGGACAGACTTTATTATTTAAACGGTTAAAGATGTGGAACATAACAGTTAAGGTCTCTCTGGTCTTTCTCTCTGGTCTCTCTCTCTGGTCTCTCTCTCTGGTCTCTCTCTGGTCTCTCTCTCTGGTCTTTCTCTCTGGTCTCTCTCTCTGGTCTCTCTCTGGTCTCTCTCTGGTCTCTCTCTCTGGTCTCTCTCTCTGGTCTCTCTCTCTGGTCTTTCTCTCTGGTCTCTCTCTCTGGTCTCTCTCTGGTCTCTCTCTGGTCTCTCTCTCTGGTCTCTCTCTGGTCTCTCTCTCTGGTCTCTCTCTCTGGTCTCTCTCTGGTCTCTCTCTCTGGTCTCTCTCTCTGGTCTCTCTCTGGTCTCTCTCTCTGGTCTCTCTCTCTGGTCTCTCTCTGGTCTCTCTCTCTGGTCTCTCTCTCTGGTCTTTCTCTCTGGTCTCTCTCTGGTCTCTCTCTGGTCTCTCTCTCTCTGGTCTTTCTCTCTGGTCTTTCTCTCTGGTCTCTCTCTCTCTGGTCTTTCTCTCTGGTCTCTCTCTGGTCTCTCTCTCTCTGGTCTTTCTCTCTGGTTACTCTCTGGTCTCTCTCTCTGGTCTTTCTCTCTCTGGTCTTTCTCTCTGGTCTCTCTCTCTCTCTCTGGTCTTTCTCTCTGGTTACTCTCTGGTCTCTCTCTCTGGTCTTTCTCTCTGGTCTCTCTCTGGTCTCTCTCTGGTCTCTCTCTGGTCTCTCTCTCTGGTCTCTCTCTGGTTTTTCTCTCTACATTAGTATCATCATGTAGTAGTAGTAAAATACCTTTCACTTCAGAGACAGTAATATTGAAGTAACACATTACTTTGAAATAACAATAACAAGTAACAGAACCTCCCTCTCTACTTCAAAAAAAAAACCCCTGGTCTTGTTTGGCGAGTCCCCAGAATGATTGACAACTGGGAGGATCAATAGTCTTAATGATCCACCCGGAAGTAGAACATCCTCCTCTATGCCTTTAAAGCTGCAGTAAGCGATGTTGTTAGCTTAGCCGTAGCCCCCACTGGAAACCCCTCCCCTCCCCTCCCTCTCCACCAAACCAAACATCCAGCATTTTCTTTTCTTTGTCACAACAGGGAGAGTGGAGCAAACGTGAAACTGGCATTTTCTGTTCAGCCATTTTAGGTTTTAGAAAATCCAATAACTCCGGTGCACTCGCGAGAAACAGGAAGAGGGTGAAGGCGGTAAACGAATCCCATTGGTTTATTTTTATCGGCCCGCTCCAAAATATGTTTCATACATTTTTAGAGACTATAGTCATCTGATTAATTCCATTACTATTTAAAACACATGATAACGTGACTACATTCAGGGTTTAGGGACGTTTTCCCACAATATTAAAAAAAATGCATAACACACGTCAGCAGCTCTGTTTACAGTCACAGGGAATGAGGCGAGAGGAATATGTTCACAAGCACAGTCTCCCCCATTGTTAGTCCTGGTTTAGTCCTGGTTTAGTCCTGGTTTCGTCCTGGTTTAGTCCTGGTTTCGTCCTGGTTTAGTCCTGGTTTAGTCCTGGTTTAATCCTGGGTTAGTCCTGGTTTAGTCCTGGTTTAGTCCTGGTTTAATCCTGGTTTAGTCCTGGTTTAGTCCTGGTTTAGTCCTGGTTTAGTCCTGGTTTTGTCTTGGTTTAGTCTTGGTTTAGTCCTGGTTTAGTCCTGGTTTAATCCTGGTTTAGTCCTGGTTTAGTCCTGGTTGAATCCTGGTTTAGTCCTGATTTAGTCATGGTTTAGTCCTGGTTTAGTCCTGGTTTAATCCTGGTTTAGTCCTGGTTTAGTCCTGGTTTAGTCCTGGTTTAATCCTGGTTTAGTCCTGGTTTAGTCCTGGTTTAGTCCTGGTTTAGTCCTGGTTTAATCCTGGTTTAGTCCTGGTTTAGTCCTGGTTTAGTCCAGGTTTAGTCCTGGTTTAGTCCTGGTTTTGTCCTGTTTTAATCCTGTTTTAGTCCTGGTTTAGTCCTGGTTTAGTCCTGGTTTAGTCTTGGTTTAGTCTTGGTTTAGTCCTGGTTTAGTCCTGGTTTAGTCCTGGTTTAATCCTGGTTTAGTCCTGGTTTAGTCCTGGTTTAATCCTGGTTTAGTCCTGGTTTAGTCCTGGTTTAGTCCTGGTTTAATCCTGGTTTAGTCCTGGTTTAGTCCTGGTTTAGTCCTAGTTTAGTCCTGGTTTAGTCTTGGTTTAGTCCTAGTTTAGTCCTGGTTTAATCCTGGTTTAATCCTGGTTTAGTCCTCGTTTAGTCTTGGTTTAGTCTTGGCTTAGTCCTGGTTTAGTCCTGGTTTAGTCCTGGTTTAATCCTGGTTTAGTCTTGGTTTAGTCCTGGTTTCATCCTGGTTTAGTCCTGGTTTAATCTTGGTTTAGTCCTGGTTTAGTCCTGGTTTAGTCTTGGTTTAGTCCTGGTTTAGTCCTGGTTTAATCCTGGTTTAGTCCTGGTTTAGTCCTGGTTGAATCCTGGTTTAGTCCTGATTTAGTCCTGGTTTAGTCCTGGTTTAGTCCTGGTTTAATCCTGGTTTAGTCCTGGTTTAGTCCTGGTTTAGTCCTGGTTTAGTCCTGGTTTAGTCCTGGTTTAATCCTGGTTTAGTCCTGGTTTAGTCCTGGTTTAGTCCTGGTTTAGTCCTGGTTTAATCCTGGTTTAGTCCTGGTTTAGTCCTCGTTTAGTCCTGGTTTAGTCCTGGTTTAGTCCAGGTTTAGTCCTGGTTTAGTCCTGGTTTTGTCCTGTTTTAATCCTGTTTTAGTCCTGGTTTAGTCCTGGTTTAGTCCTAGTTTAGTCTTGATTTAGTCCTGGTTTAGTCCTGGTTTAGTCCTGGTTTAATCCTGGTTTAGTCCTGGTTTAGTCCTGGTTTAGTCCTGGTTTAGTCCTGATTTAGTCCTGGTTTAGTCCTGGTTTAGTCCTGGTTTAATCCTGGTTTAGTCCTGGTTTAGTCCTGGTTTAGTCCTGGTTTAGTCCTGGTTTAGTCCTGGTTTAGTCTTGGTTTAGTCCTAGTTTAGTCCTGGTTTAATCCTGGTTTAATCCTGGTTTAGTCCTCGTTTAGTCTTGGTTTAGTCTTGGCTTAGTCCTGGTTTAGTCCTGGTTTAGTCCTGGTTTAGTCCTGGTTTAATCCTGGTTTAGTCTTGGTTTAGTCCTGGTTTCATCCTGGTTTAGTCCTGGTTTAATCTTGGTTTAGTCCTGGTTTAGTCCTGGTTTAGTCCTGGTTTAGTCTTGGTTTAGTTCTTGTTTAGTCCTGGTTTAGTCCTGGTTTAATCCTGGTTTAATCCTGGTTTAGTCCTGGTTTAGTCTTGGTTTAGTTCTTTTTTAGTCCCTGTTTAGTCCTGGTTTAGTCCTGGTTTAGTCTTGGTTTAGTTCTTGTTTAGTCCTGGTTTAATCCTGGTTTAGTCCTGGTTTAGTCCAGGTTTAGTCCTGGTTTAGTCCTGGTTTTGTCCTGGTTTAATCCTGGCTTAGTCCTGGTTTAGTCCTAGTTTAGTCCTGGTTTAATCCTGGTTTAGTCTTGGTTTATTC